CTCAAAGACTATTAAACATAGGAGCTTCAGATTTTCATTGGTTGTTTAGCTCTGGTAAGGGGCTATCCATCAGGTCAACCAATGCCCCCCCCCAAGACCCCCACCCAAACCACTTCAATTTTAGAATGCACCTAGTAGCATGACATTTATTAGGAATGAAGACTTCTGAGTTCTGGTGCATTTGTGCGTGCGGCGGTCATTATGTTACCGCTATGCGGTATCTAGTTTTTTTATTTTTAGCTTGAATCGTTTGATAAACTGTCCTGATTTTCTTTGTAAAAATCAAGAAAAGATTTAATTTTATGGTAAGGTTTTAATAATTTCTTCTTAAAATATTAACTTGTCCAAATACGTTAATTCATTGCCTTGAGGAAAAGACAAACTGTTCTGACTAGATGTTCCTTGTTACTTTAAGATAATGAGAGAAAAACCTTTTTAAACAAAACTATGTTAACTTTAGCTTATATCCCTGATGTGGAGCTTTGAACATTCAAGGTTACATTTGTCCTTTTTAAATCTGATTAATTGTTCCCTTTTTTTATCCTGTCCTTTGTCATCTGTTTTTAGCCTGACCTATACGGTTTTTAATTGTGCAACTACTGTAAAAGCACATTTTAATTACATTTTAGTGGTTGACCTATTTTAGGAAAGTTTGATTGTTACATAAATACCTTTTTTTTCCAAGTTGCGAGGAGGCAGAACAGGAAAAATGGGTGAATGTTTGTACATGTTTGTTGTCTTTTGACTCRCATAAAAAGTGCAACTCTGAAACAGTTTTCTTTTTCTTTTCTTTTTGTYTTTATAGCAACTGTTAGCAGGTCTGGCTATGGGAGCCCACGGAGCAGTTGGCAGGTCAGTAGACTTTAAAGTGTAACTAACTCCCYCTGTGAAAGTATAACCCCGCCCCCAGGCTAAATTGAAAAATTCCAACAAAGTGGGCAGTGCCACGAGACAATGAGCGGCACAGACAAGTGTGTGGATGAGCGAGGGGGTGTGTTCAGGACAAGGGAACGTGACGGCTAGCTTAAAACGACAAGCTAACATTTCTGAAAACTTTCCTGGTTGATGTAAAGAAATGAGTGTATTCTGGAAAAAGTAAAGTTTCATGACGTACATGCAAACTCAAATTTAGCTGTTCTTGTATAAAATATGACTTTGATCCAAACAGAAGAACATTTTCTCATTTGTTTCAATGTTTCATTTGAAATTCACAAGGCAGCTCAGTCCTGGACTGATGCTGTTCTGTCCCCTCCAAACACTAAGAAAACGCATGAAGTTTTTTCCACAGGCTTTTACATACGAGAGTCGTGATGTAAGCATGTAACAAAGCTGTACCGCTTTAACCAATAAGAAAATTCAACTGCAGCAGCCACTGTTCAACCCATAGAGGGCAGCACCAAGACATTTTGTTGACAAAACATAGAATTAAACAAATTTACACAAATGTCAAAAATTGCACAGAAATATAAAGATAATTTAAAATTTGGACAGTTCATCTGCAAATAAAGTTGATTTTTGTGTTTAGCTACTCTTTAATTTTTTTTTTATTTATACTTATTAATTTCTTTTGTCACAGCACATATAACTATATAGGATGTCACGTCAACAAGCTCTTATCTGCCTTTGAGAAGGGTGACCTTGTCCAAGCCAGGAGCATACAGGTACTTGTTGTTCCTGACTTCTCCGACATGTTTCTGATCAGATTAGTTAAATTTTTTTTCCTGACTTCTGTTTGCAGTTCAAAATGCAGGAGCTTCTGAGTTACGCCATGAAACTTGGTGAGTGACGCTTGTGAAGCTGGATCTGATAGAAGAATGTTCGGTTTCTACATTCAGAACTGATTCGCTCTCATCGACAGGCTTTGATGTCGGAGTGAACAAGCAGCTGATGTCGGAGCTGTCGGGTTTGTCTCTGGGACCCCCTCGACTCCCCCTGACGCCGTGTCCTCATGATCGCATCGAGCAGATCACTCAGAAATATCGCACCGTGTTTTAAAACCTTGTGAATTTTCTTGATGTTTTTTGGTCAATACCTCTCACGGGACAGCAACAATATTACAGCAAATAATCAGCGCTGACGTACTTTAACTTTAAAACATCATTTAGAAATAAAAATGATTGTTACTGAATCTGTCTTAACTTGAACTTTCCTTAAATATATTTTTCTTTGAGTTGAACTCATAGCATTATCTTTTTTTCCAAGAGTAACTGTATTTTTGGCAACTTTGTAATGAAATGAGTTGTTTTGATACAGTATAACTGGTTATCAGGTTTCCTTAATGGATTTTGCAAATGTGACATTTTAGATTTTACACTTGAAACGCTAAAAATCTACWGTTTGTAAAAGCATGGTTGAATCCTTTTTTAAAAAAGCACCTTTTAGTGTATTGTGAGACAAACTACTTTAAAAAGCTGAAGCATTATACATTTTTGTTCAAATAGGGAAGATGGTCTTACSCAGTTTGATTCAATCTAAAGTGAAAGATGTTTTTCTTGTCTTTATTCTTGATTTACCATTTAATTTCATGCTACTTTATGAAAAAGTAAAATATTTTTGTAATGGTCTATCTGAACATCAACAGGCTCGTAAAACGCATGAAAAACGTTTTTGTTGATGTTTTCTGATTCACAGAAAAAATGCGATGTAGTTTTAACACTGATCAGAAATTGTTACTAATAAATTTGGTACTAATCCAAAGTGTTTATTTTTTTACGTGTCCTTTTTATCCTTCATATTACATCCTCAGATTATCCTTGTTCCTCATACAAATGTTGAAACATAAAGAAACATCTAAACGGGTTGGCCAAAAAGGGTGAGGATGTGAATAGAGTCTGACGAAAAATAAAAAAGTTTAAAACTGATGAGCTAATGTGGAGGTAATTACTCTGCTGTAGAGTAAATGTTTTAATAAGTGATTTTAATCAGATTTACAACATTGTGGGTTTTGACTGCATGATTASTTTGTGTTGAAATTGGAAACAATTATTCACACTTATCCATACAGACAWACACACCAAACGAACCTGAAACATAAAGAAATAGTTTTTTGTTGTTTCTCTATTCAGTCAGGAGTGGCAAAAATGTGTGAACCTATTTAGTAGTTAACCCATTCCTGCCACATGAACTGCATTTTAATTTCTCAATGACGTAATTTTCCAAGGGCTGGAGTCAGAGGCTTCCGGTGTTAAAAAATGTTTAATTTGAAAATAATTTTTATTTTTAATATCCGTCTTTCTCATTTAATAGTGGAGTTATTGTTGTTGAAACAGAGGACCGAATCATTTAAATGTAACAGTTTAAACAATTTAGTTTTATTTTTGTAAGGACTAGGCTGTGTCCAAAACGACAGGCTGGGTCCTCCGGAGGACCCAGACTCCCCGGTCTCGGYGGGCCGGGTCCTTGGTAGACCGGGAAGACCGGAAAAAAAGAGGCTGTGGATTTGGACGGTCTAGCCT